GCTCAGATGCCGAGGAGCTCAGAAAGTGGGCGACTGTGACCAGTGATAGTCATGTATATAGAGATTAGAAATGCATGTGAAAACGTCTCAATGTCAATTGCCTTGGAATGAATTTTTCTGTATGAAACTGTGTGTTTTGACAACGAAGTGGAGATCTTTTTTAAATGTTGGAACCTCATTTAATTTTATGTCTTATAGAGTTTATAATGAGTAAAAGATTATATAAGCGTAATAATTCATCTGTAAACCTAGAAATGTACAGCCAATTTTGAAAGAGATGTACCCTAGCTCAGAAAAATGTTATTGAATAGGTTAATGCTGTTGTGATGAAATGCTTCTTCTAATTAAAAAAAAAAGAAAAAAAAGTGACCCTTCAAAAAGAAAATTTAAGACAGTATTTAAAATTAATGAATCTATTTTTTTCATTTTTTCAGGAAGTTTCTGCATACAAATCAAGTGTTCTTTCTCAATCTTTATTTCCCATCTCTCAATGTGTTCCTTTCTTGGAGTGGGAGTACCACTACTTAGGTGCTCCCTGAGCATCAGGACCCTGTAAGTCCCTCTAGTTCTTCCTTCACATGGAGCCCAGTCTTTCATGTCTCCTCATCTCCAGGGCATCTTCATCTTCATCCCTAGGCCCTTGGAAGGGTCTACCTGTCTTCACATTTCACACTGTCCTCTGTCCTTAACCACATTTATAAACAGAGACTGAGACATTTTAAAAACATGCACTTGAAACACTCAGTTTCCATCTTTTCCCTTGAATCGATGGTCTAACCTTTTTTCACCTCAGCACCACTCCACCACTGTCCTCTCTGCCTGCATGCTCACATGTCTGAACTGTCTAATGGGTCTGTCTTATTACTCACCATTGCACTGTCTTCTTTATGATGCTTATCATGATTTAATATTTAACAGAATTGATAAGACTATTCTTTATGTTTATAAAAAATTGAGCAGAGAGTACAGAGTTCGCATATATCTGTATCATAAACATCTTGCTTTGGTATGTTATCTATGATGTAATTGATGAATCAACATTGGTATGTTATTATTGATTAACCTCAGTATAGATGAAGTGACTCTTAGTTATGTACATTTTACACATTTGATGAATGCATACTGTCATGCAGTCATCATTAAAGAATACAGAAGAATTTCATGGCCCTGCAATCTGATCTGTTATCCTCCACCTAATAACCCCTCATTCCACCTGTCTTGACAGCCATCAGTCTTTTTCAATGTCCTGAGAGTTTTGTGTTTCCTAGGATGTCATATAGGTGAAGTCATGCAGAATGTTTGTTATTTGATAGTTTTAAAAATATGTTAATTTCTGTCTGTGTTACTTTCTATATTAAAACTTTCAGAGAGCAGAGGTTTTATGTGCCTTTTTCTCTCTTTTCCCACAGGCACAAATAAAGGCCCATAGTGGATCTGCTGTGTGGATATGTTGGTCGAGTGAATGAATGACTCTGCAATAAATTGGCAGTAATCATGCAATAATTTTGAAGCATTCATTTATGATTTTTTTATAGTAACTACAAAACAAACTTATTTAGGTCTGTGTCTTTTATTTAGGTGTTCTGTAAGTATTGGGAAAGGAAGAGTTGTTCTTGGACCCAAGTAGGTGAGGGTTTGGCATCCTTTTGTCTGAGACTAGTGCAAGATTGTACCCAGTTATGTTTATACCAGGACATTTCCTGAGTTACCGCCACAGAATCTGAAACACACCGTATATGTCCATAGCAAACTCTTTTCTGTCTGCCTCTGTTCTTTAATACTCAAAGACTAGAAACTGGCTTCTCAACCTCCTTCTATTCTTGCCTTTGTTTTTCTACATCTTATTCACTTATCATCTGCCCCACCTCAATTTTTATTACTTTCTACACTTTTCTAGTTTTCTTTTTCTGTTCTTTAAAAAATTTATTTATTATTTTTATTTTATGTGTATGAGTGTATTGCCTGTATGTAGGTAAGTGCACCCATGTCGTGCAATGCCCGTGGAGGTCAGAAAAGGTGGTGGGATCCCCTGGGACTGGAGTTATGGACAGTTGTTAGCTGTCATGTGGGTGCTGGGATTCGAATCCGGGTCTTCTGCAAGAACAACTAGTGTTCTTAACCGCTGAGCCATCACTCCAGCCCCCCTTTTCTTATTCTTCTATTCCCCCTTCCCCTTTGTAGTGATGGGGTCTGAACCCAGGCCCTTGCAAGTGCTCTACCACTGACTATACTCTGAGCCCTTCCTATCCCTTTAACTTGGGAAACAGTAATACCTAATTGTCACCTAATTGTGACCAACAAGATACAGAACAACACTTGAGGTTCCTGTGTCAAGGAAAGAAGAATCACATATTTTAAAGTGAAATTAACTATAATAAGGAACCACACCATTTAAACGGTAAGAAATGTTCAGAGGTCTCTTCTACAATTTCCATAAAACTTTCAATCTTTCTCATTAAAACTCTTTTCCTCAATACCCACCATTTAATACATAATATTTCTTCTTAACCCAATTCTTAAATAACTGATTTGTTTACTGGATCACAATTTTTAGAAATTGAATTTCTGATCCAAAAGAGATACTTTTGAATTCATTATGATGGAAATTATAGGATGTTCTTGCTATTACCTGTTTTAGACTCTTGGACAGGTGCCGACATTTACTCTAGTCACAATCTTATTTATGCCCTTTAAGCCCAAATCCACTGAGCCCCAATCGTTCTAGACTGATTCCCAATCTTTCTAGGATAAATCCCTTCCCAGAAGCAGAAACACAAATGAATAAAATCCAATAAAACATTTGGCAACACTGTTGATTGTAGATAGAATAATTAACACGAATGTCTTTTGTGGGTGACATTTAACAACAAAATGGCAGCATTTCTTAAAATGTGCAAGATAAAAAGAACATGACACTTAAGAAAAAGGCATTAAAACTCATTTGTAAACTTCAAATACTCTACTATAACCCAATTTTTAAAAAAGAATAAAAACCATCATTCTACTTGAAAGGTAACTATTAACTCATCCAATACCAAATAATTCTGCCTAATTTATTGAGTGAGGCTTATTTTGGGTTCTACTTTTTTAAAAATTAGAATTATTTTTGTTTTGTAAGTTATACATTGTGACTTACAAAATTAGCTTAGTGTATATACTTCTGTTCTTATACATTACCCATTTGACCAAAAATGAAGTAGTTGTGAGTGGTTTACCTTTAAGGCTATAATCACCTCCTTTTGTGCACTCAAGGCTGTTTAAAGTAAGGAAATCAACCCTTCCTTTGGAAGAAAACTTTCCCCAAAGGCATATTTCTTTTCTAAAAAATTTCCTGTGTTCCATAAACATGATATAAAAGAAGAAATAAAGTCAGCCCAAAGCGTACCGGTGAGACTCCAGCACCAGGGCTCCAGTGGCCTCAGCGAATCACCTTCTGAAGCTTCATCCAGGGCTAGCCAAGCTACTAAACGCTTCAGCCCAACTGTAGGCTCGCTGTGCAGGTCAGCACCCACCCTTGCACAGGCTGCCCTTTGGCAATCACTCTGCTGTCACCACAGACCTGGTCTACAGGATTAGTTTTGCTTCTGCTCCTAGTCTTTTTCAACATTCATTTGAACAGCAAAATATCCAGTACCTGTAAGCAGTGGGCTCCACAAGGGATAAGATGTACAAAGAAGTACACTTACCATTAAACACGTTACTACGATGACAAAGATGCTGAGAAAAATGACAACAGCATAAAATCCTTCTTTGCTCCAGATTTTGTCTGCTTCGTGCTGCCCTTGTAAAACATTTTTCTTTAAAAGCAAAACAGAAAGTCCAGAGTTAAATGAGAGCTTGAGGAAACTGGCGTTCTTATCAGACTGTAAACATATTTTTAGCTTTATTCCATTCAGTGTAGTGGAACACACCTACACGCCCCCCCCCCCCCCCCCCCCAGAAATGCTTCTCCAAACTGATCTGGGCACTGACAGCTGTCACAAGGATCCGGTAAGGGAACAGGCATTCCCGACAGGCTCACTGGTTCTCACCTTCCTCTACATTCCTCACTGTCTGTCTTGGAAGCTACCTGGTTCATAGGTGAGAGAGTTCTGTGCTTTTCTGCGCTGAGGATATTGTTTCTGAAGCTTTCCTGACTCCGAGTCCCCTCCCACATCAACATTCTGCCTTATGTGCTGTAGCTCCGCTCTTTACTTTTAAACAAAAGCGAAACAGGTGCAAACAACAGCTCGTGATGCTTTGCTAAGCGGAGGAACAATGTGGGGACCACTTGTTTTTACTTTTATCATATCGAATATTTTTCCCTTAAACGGAGTTTACTCTGTCAAAAATATGACTAAAGCACCATCCACATATAAATTGCTAAGGCATTATATTTTATTTAAAGCAACAAGCAACGCCCAAAAGTTTGGAATTATTTAGTGATGAAAGGCAAAATAAACAGAACACTTTAATTTTTATTGGTTTTGCTCATCACTTGGAAGTGAAGAGCAGTGAAGAAGAACAAAATGTGAATGTCTTCTGATTTTAACTTACCCATTCTTAAAAGCAAAGCACACTGATTGAAGTAATGCTTTGTAAGATTTTGCTTGTTTGTTTGTTTGAGACTGCGTCTCCCTCTGCAGCCTCTTGCCTCAACCTCTAAGTGCTGGAATTATAGGTATAAACCACTATGACCAAATATGAAAATGTTTTTTAACTTAGTAATATTACAAATTTATAGACAAAGAAATCTTAATTTGAAATCAGGTGGCAAGAAAAAATGTTTTCATTCATCTATAATAGTTCATTGAGAGTTGTCCTTTCCGTTCCTTTGGGAGGGTATGTGTCTGTTTGTCCTTGACTATTAACTCCAAAGACTAAGAAAGCTTTGAGTTTGAGGTACCTGAAATTTGAAATCATTTCTATTTTTTAAAGTTAAAAATTACATCCAGCATTTGCAAATTAGATAGAAGATTAACCTTGAAAAATACTTTCTGAAAGTGTTTATCTTGGGACTCAGTTGAGTCTTGGTAGACATGAGAAAGACAGACCAGAAGAGAACTTTGAGTTCAATTATGATGACAAAAATCATTTTTGTTGCCATAGAAAAATCACATTTTCTAGATAGATATGTAGATAAAAGATATGAGTTAGCATGTATTTTAATTAATGGAGAATCTGCTAATAGTTGATTGGTGAGGTGATTTGTAACCTGATGGACATTTTGGACTTCAGTGACAATTTTCCTTCATTTTTTGACACCAGCCAGATCGTTTTTGTTCTGCTCCAGTGTCTTTATTAACATAGCTAGAAACTAATAGAAAAGAAAACTGTTATAGGACTCAAGTGTGGAAGTGATTTTTTACAGGCAACTAAATAGCATCTATTGTTTGCTATAAAGCAAACTAGTTAAGACTTCATGCAGGCAGCATGAATTTGTCAAATTTAACTATAAGGATTTGAGCTTAAGCTCCCCTGTGAAAAGGGGTGGTTAGGTGGGTGGAAAGAGATATTGTGTTCCTAACCTGGTCTGGTGCATTTTCCTTCTGTAGGTTTACAATTTCCCAAATATCAACATGTCCTTTTCTGCTGAAGACGAACTTGTTTTGCTTTCTTCTTTTTTTTTTTTTTTTTTTTTTTTTTTTTTTTTTTTTTTTTTTTTTAAACTGAGGCAAGAGTGATGGTAGAATTGTTCTCCACTTCCCATCATCCACCTCCAGTAAAAAGACACAAGTTTTGAACGAGAACTTAGTCACTGCACTTTCTCGGTAAATAGATCTTCTGACTCATGCTCCTCCTGCTGAGCAATACTATATTTGTTCAGAGATCTAAAAAGCTTGATAAGGGCGGAGTAATAAATGGAAGTTTGTGGTTAAGATCTCACACATCAAAAGACCATAATCCATAGTAATCTCTAATCTAACCTTTGCATGGGGCTAACCCAATGCCTTTTATATTTTGTTGGGGGGGGTTGCTGAGGGTTCAATAATTCACAGACTCTGTGGCCAGGTCAAGTTAATGTTCCTTTATCATCTCTATGGCCTATTTCATAGCTGCGTAGCTGTGACCTTTAACTTAACTGCAATGAAAGAAGCTGATGAGTTTTTATTATTTCAAAATATTGTATTTATTATTTTTATTTTATGTGTATGAATGTTTTGCCTGTGTGTAAGTGCACCACATCCATGCAAAAGCCTCAGAGGCTGGAAGAGGGCATTAGATCACCTGGAATTGGAATGGGGGATGATTGTTAGCCATCATATGGATGCTGGGAATTGAACCACCCGGTTCTTCTTTGGAAGAATTCTTCTTTGGAAGAATAACAAGTGTTCTTAACCACTAAGCCAGCTCTCCAGACCCCAAAGTCATTCTTTGTTTTTCTGAGGCATTTCCACAAAAAAACCCCCCAAAATAGAAACAGGACTCTGAAGACACAATAGCAGTAAAAACACATACTTCCATGAAAGCAACTAACATAAACTTAAGAATAGATGTTTTGAAACATCACTGTGAAATTCTTCAGTCAATGTGAAAAATGAAAAGCCCAGAGTACAATGTTCCCCTTTTTGCTGTTAATGAACATATTACCACAGCAAGGTACAGTTTGAGGAGCAAAATGTGAAACACTGGGTTGAGGCATAAGATGTTGTAAAATCGTCACCACAAAAGATGAATAAAAACATAGAGAAGCTTAGAGAACAGTGTTAGTAGCTTTACACAATTCTCCCTAGCTGTTTCTTTTCTTTTAAGCTGAATGTGAACCAAGCAGCTCCCATTCGGGTGTTTGACCACTGCAGATGCCTTTTTTCCTTACTTTTCTTCTTCTTTTCTTAAAAAATTATTTTATTATTTTCATTTTATGTGAATGAGTGTGCTGCCTGCATGGTAAGTCCACCTGTGTTGTGCAATGCCCGTGGAGGTCAGAAGAGGGTATTGAATCCCCTGGAACTGAAGTTATGGATGATTGTTAGTCACCATGTGGGTGTTTGGAGTAGGACCTGGGTCCTCTTCAAGAGCAGCCAGTGCTCTTAACTGATGAGCCATCTCTCCAGCCCCCTTTCTTAGTTTTCTTGATTTTGCATTTAGAGCTTCATGTCTGTCTTTTTGAGAGTGACTGAAGAAAAAGGTTTAAATAACCAATCTCTCCCTGATGAAATGCCCTTTACAGTTCATTCAAACACTGCCTGAGCTCTTATAATGTGTATTTCAAAGATTAGAACATTCCTAGGTTTCTAGATTTCAAGTTTTGTGAGAAGATACCTTATTTTGGTCACCAAATACACTTGTTATTGAGTACAGGACAGACATCAGTGATGCCGAGGCTAGCCCTCCTTTTTCTCTGCTGTTGTGTGTTAGGAGACCCCAAGTACTAGATTTTTATCTAGTTCCTTTTGAAGAGTGACCTTCACATCTTTACTGTGGTCTTCACACTCTGAAACTTTCAGAACGACATTTAAACTCAGAATAAAGAAACAGGGAGGAATGCATGTATAAGTTTCCAAAAGTTTATAGGAAACATAATCAATCAATTTAATGGTGTTTTTGAAATTGAAAAGCAATTATCCCAGGGAAGATTTGTATTCATTCTGTGAATGGTTTAGACTGTGGGGATGGAGTTTCACTTATTATACAAAATAAGATACTTTCATTTCAGGTGTGGTAGGGCCAGGGAGGGATCTAGGTGATTAGATTCATGTTGATTTTCTCCCCTGGCACAAGGTAGCCTTTCAAAGTTCCCATGGCACAAAGTGTTACTTTACTATTGTTCTGTATTCTTCTCAGCTGTTTATATCTAGGTGCCATCTAAGATCATAAATCAATTAATGGAAGAACCATGCTGTGTTTTTATTTGCCTATTTATTTTCCTGACATTGGATAGTCCCTAGCACAGTGCTTGGCTACTTGTTCATTTCAGTTTTTCATATTGTGTCCATTGAGTGGCTGAAACTAAATGAAGACACTGAAGAAACAGCTAAAATAACGTGGCATATTTTGCCAATGAACTCACAGTGCAGGGATGGCCTTGAAGACCAACACGGGACAGGTTTTTGCTCTAAACTCAATGGGAACACAATGTAATGAGCAACCAAGGAGCTGAAGGCATGACAGAAAACACACTCATCTTGAAAGACGAGAGGTGTACACAGGCTTACTCTCAAGCATGGAGGGAGGAGCACTGGAGGAATATGGTAACTAATACATTTAGAATCATTTAAACATAAACTAAGAAAGTCACTCAACAATTACAAAGCCTAGCACTTGGAGACACACATACCATGCTAATAAATCTGAATTTCATTCTGTTGTATTTTGAAACTAAAGAATCATAAAGTTAAGAGAACAAGTCATATTTACACAGAGGAGGACTAATATGATGGCAAAAAAGAAATGTATTTTGTAGGAGCGAAAGGGGGTAGGGCAGGGAACAAAACCAAAAGAAGTAGGAAAGGTCAGGGTAGAGGGTTGATGGTCTTGATTTAATGGTGATATACTGTTGGTCCTCCTACCTCCTACCTGTGGTTTCTGTGTCTGCAAATTCAGTCAACAGTGGATGGAAAATATTAAGGAACAAAATTTATCTCTACTTAATATCTGAAGACTTTTTGGTCACCATTCCCTAAGCGATACAGTCTAGCAACTGTTTATACTGCACTTTCATTGTATTATGTTTTCTAAGTAAGTTAGAAATGATTTGGTGTGTATGGGAGGGTCTGTATACGTTTATATGAAAATATAATTTTATACAAGAAATTTGACTTTGGTAAGATTTATATAAGAAATCCAGAGTTTGATAAGCATGGGTGTTTTGGGTCCAGTCTTCTGAGGATATCAAAGGATGGTGTTTTTGTTTTACATAGTCATCTATATTCACATTATGTTTGTTTTGTACAAATAAAAATCTGAGAATTTTCATTCATATCAAAAATTTTTAATCCATATGCTAAGTCCATAAGATAAGGACTATATCCGTTTTGAATACAAAGAAACAGGTTCAGAGAGGTTAACACTATGCAAATGAACTGCCCAAGGTGACGCAGATTATGGATCTTAGATCTGGGACTCAAATGATCCTATACCAAGGCTTTTATATAACACCTAGTGTATTTGCTGAAATAAAAGGCAGTGTGGTTTACTGGAAAGAGGAATACAACAGGAACAGAATCAAGATATCTATTTTGGGGGGATGTTTTATTGCTTGTTACTGATTAATTTATTATTTGTTGAGACAGGGTTTCACTATGGAGCCCATGCTGGCCTGGAACTCTCTATGTAGGTCAGTCTGACTTTGAATTCATGATCTTCCTCCTTCTGCCTCCTGAATTTTAGGATTTCAGAGGTATGCCACTATGAGATCTGGATTCCCTCCCCCCTCCCTCCCTCCCTCCCTCCTTCCTCTTCTTTCTCCTCTTCCTTTTCTTCTTCCTGCCTCTCTTTCTGTCCTAGAGGTTGAACCCAGAACCTCATGTATGCTAGGCAAGTCCTCTACAACTGAGCTATGTACTTTGCCTTCTTTTTTACCTTTAATTTTGAAGCAGAGTCTCTGTAAGTTCCCCTAGGTTGGCTCTGAACTCACTCTGCGGTAGCCCAGCAGTGCTTGGGCTTTTGGTCCTCTTGCCTCTGGGATGACAGGCCCACAATGCAGACCTGGCTGATGTCTAAATTTCAAACGTTGCTTTCTGCTTCATTCTTCAGTCACTAATTTCTATGCACCTACTTTCTGTGTCTACAGAGTGTTGACACATTTCCTCAAGGTCATTAGGATGTTGGTCATTCTGGTAAATTTGTCTGAATATGATAGAACAGGAGAGGAAGAGGGACAAAATTCCCTCAGGAGAAAAATCAGAGAGATAGTAGAGAAAACAATTTCATAATGCTAAGTTTATAAAATACCTTGAAGGAAATATCTAGAGTTCTTAAGGCTAGGAAACAGTGTATTTCATATCATGTCGAAGTGTGGGGGAAAAGTGAGTAGTTTATGAATATTTTGACAATGAAAGTGATGAGAAGGGGTTTATCTGTTGAAGAAAGCCAGAGCAGCAATTTTGTTTCTGATTCTTGGCATGTCAGTTTGAAGTAATCAAGTGACAAACATATCTAACTGGTCTTTCCTTACAATTTACTGAAAAGTAAAAATTGCAAGGCCACAAGGATTTCAAAAATAAAGTGTCAAAAAATGGAACTTCAATGTAAAAATGAATTTCCTTAAGGAATAAAAATAAACTGTGAAGAATTTAGGACTCTGACCCTCAGGGAGATTTTTGTTTTAAAATCCACACACAATAAAGAGTTTTTATCTCAAAACCTCACAGTTTGGATTAGCGTATCAAGCTAACTTAGGCTCCTTAAATGATATTCCATGCAGCGACATACCTCAGGGGAAATGTCTGCAATTCCAAACTGAGACAAACTCTGACGCAAAACATTGATATTAAGAGACCGCAACACTTCTTCGGATGGCAGAGCATCAGAAATCCCTGTTTTCTGGTTTATGGGAGACACGAATATTTCAATGCTGTTCTTCTTCTCCTAGTAAAAGCAGATAATTTGTCTGTGTTAAATACAAGTTTCTTGAAAATAAATGAAATTATTTTTATCTTATCTTTCAAGACATTAAAGTCGAATTCCTAGTATCATTTTTTTTGCTATATTCTTTTTTTCAGAATTTCATACATGGATATTGTATTGATATCATTCCCATTCTGTCTCTTCCTCCTCCAACTCCTCCCATGTCACCCCCAACTTTCTCTTAATTTCTTATCCTCTTTTTTGATGCTTATTGTTACATATGCATATATGCAAACATGTGTATAGAATATATTGAGTCTATTCGGTGATGCTCATGTATACATGTGTTTAGGACTGATCCCTTGGGATTAGATAACCTGGCAGGGGTTCTTCCCTGGAAATAACTGATTCTTCCCTCCTTAGCAGCCACTGACTGCTTGTAGGTCTTCATCTAGAGGTGGAGCCTTGTGAAATTTCCCCCATCCACATTGGCATGCAAACAGTGTTAAGTCATTTTGGGCCTCTCATGGACTGATTTATTCTCTGCTAGAGTTCCTATCACTAGTGCACAGTCTCAAGTCTTTAAATGCATTCATTTCAGTTAGCACTTCAGGAATTTTACATTTAACTGGATAATGGTTTATATTCAATTTCATATATATATAGCCACAGCTGGCCTGGAACTCACTATGTAGACTAGACTGGTCTCCATCTCACAGAGATCTGCCTGCCTCTACCTCCTGAGTGCTGAGATTAAAGGTGTGCACTACCACACCCAACTCAATTTCATATTTTAATAGTGTTTGCTAGTGTTCATTTGAGACAGGCTGTCATTATGTAGTGTGTACTGGCCTTGAACTCTGCATCCTCCTGCTGTAGTCTTCTGAGTGCTGGAATTAGAGGTGCACCAGTACACCCAGTGTCTTTAAATTCTTCAAGCATATTTTCTAGATGTTCCCTGAGTGGTTATGCTTAAAGATATATTTTAAAATTAAATGAATGAGGTGAAACTTAATGGAATTATACAACGATCAGGAAACACCATTCTTCATTTTCCCTTACCAATTGTGTGAGTGTGAAGGCTGGACTAAGCAAGGAAGGAGGTGTCAGGTAAGCTTGGGAGTCCCTTCCCCCATTCTAGTCACCTTAAAATAGCCACATTTTTCAACTCTACTTTTTGTAGGAAAGCATTTAAGAGATCTAGATCTTGAGCCAAGACACCTATAATACCTAAATCTTCTCAGTTGGCAAGATGCCCTGGACATACCAACCTGCTTCCCTTCTTTTTTAGAAAATATTTTTATTTATTATTTTAATTTTAAGTGTATGAGTGTACTGTCTGCATGTATGTAAGTGTATCTTGTTTTTCACTGTTCATGGAGGTCAGAGGAGGGCACTGGATACCCTGGAACAAGAGTTATGGATGGTTGTTAGTGGCCATGTGGGTGCTGGGAACTGAACCCAGGTCCTCTGCAAGATCAGTCAGTGCTCTTAACTGCTGAGCCATCTCTCCAGCCTCCCCCACCTTTTTTTTGAGACAAGGTTGGCTTGGAACTCCCTATGTATTCCAGTGTGATATCAGACTTACAGCTCTCCGGCCTCTGCCTCCTAGCTATCAGGATTAGAAGCAGACATCATTATGCCAAGCATAACCTTTACTCTCAAAGGATATTAGAAAATGCTGCATTTTTCTCTTCTGTGCTACTGAGCCAAAACTTTTCAGTCTCATGAAACTGTTGACTCATAGAATAAAGGTTTTTGTGAGAGCTGAAACAATTCATCTTTCACCCACAGAAAAACAGAAAGAAACATAAATACATCCTTTCCTGCCCCAATGTAAATTCCATAGCTGGGAATACAGATGCCATATGTGACTACAGTAGAAAGCTGAGCTGGAGCAGCAGAGCAGTTTAAGACAGGGAAAGCACTTAGTCCTTTGCTGGGCTCCCAATGGAATGGGAACAAAGAATAGTTTTAAAGCAATAAACCCTGAGCTTATATGGGACTTGTGTACGCTGACACCATTGCCATAGAATCATATGAGCAGGTTCTCGGGAGCTTGTAGGACTTTGCTTTCATATGGTCATGCACCTCCTCCCCGGCTCTTACAATCTTTCTGTCCTCTCTTCCAAGATGGTACCTGAGCCTTGGGTGGGTGAAGTTTAATAAAGGGGTCCTGTCTAAGGACCATCATTCAGCAGACTCTTGATCTCTATGCTTTGACCATTTGTGACCTTTTGTGTTCCTGGCCCTCTGCTGCATGAGGGAGGACTCACTGAGAACTGAGAGATTCATTAGTGTTCTCTTCTTTACTCCTGTGAACAGCAGACCCCAATCTTATCTGAAGAAATATTGGCAACTGACTGCTGCTAGGTGAAGAAGAGCTAAGTTTCCCAAAACAAGGGACTCTAGATAGGCTGACTAGACCTCAGTGGATGGACTTGCACTGGGGAACTGCTGGGGACACTGACAATACAGCCTGTCTTAACAGGGATGACAGAATATATGGGCTCCAGTGAGGGGTGCTATGGGAGGGTACCAGTGGGGATGGGGGTATAAAGATGATTAAGATTGTTTGAGATGTTCTGTATGAAATACACAAAAAGTTCATTAAAAACAAATAGCCAAAGCTGACTAGCTTTTTATAAAGAACAAAAATAATCTGATTTAAAATTGCTTTTTTAAAAACCTGTCTTTTGCTCACATCCATCTTCAAGTGCAAAGGAGAACATGTCGTTCATGTCATCTGGGTTCCCCAACACTGAGAAAATGGGTTAAAAAATGAATGTGGGTTATTGACGGGTCGAGAGTTGGCCCTGCACAGTGGCTCCTTTGATCCTGTGGTTTTCCTCACGGTCACCTCAGAAGCCTTCCAAGGTTTTCCTTGTCATTCTGCTTGGGCTACTGACCGCAAGGCTCAGCTCTTCCTTATTCACCTTCGGTGATAAGACACCTTCGGTGTCTATCATTCCACTGATAAACTTGAAGGGATTTTAGTAAACACTGTCAGGAGACCTGATACAGAAGGCTCCACTGTCATGTGTAATGTTTTGGGAGTTGCATCGTGCAGGACTTGGGCCTTTATTCATACCTAGCAGGGCAGCTAGCATTGAACTCTGACAGGGATGATAAACATTATTTTTTCTGAATGAACCAGATGGTAAATCATTTATGCTTTTGTGGGCTAAAGAGTTTGTTACAACAATTTAGCTCTGCCACTTTAAGCATGAAAAGAGCCATGGACAATACGTGAATGAGTAGATGTGACTTGTTCAAATAAAACTTTATTTACAAAAAATGGCTAGTATGGTAGCTATGGCTCATGAGTCACACAAATATAGCATGAGGCCTTCAATGATTTTAAGTCTGTCTGAGGGGTTAGAGAGGTGGCTCAGGGTTATGAGAACTTTCTGTACTTCCAGAGGACCCAGGTTTAATTCCCAGGATCCACATGATGGCTCTGTTACCCACTCCCCCACCCCATTTCAGCCTTTATGGGAATTATATATATGCCAGTATATACACCAGCAATTAAAACACTTGTACAAATAAAAATAAATAAATCATTTGGGGCTGGAGAAATGGCTCAGTGGTGAAGAACACCCAGTGCTATGCAGCAGAGAAAACTGATATCCAACTGTGGCCTAGGCTTGGTTTCCAGTACCCACGTGGTAGTTAACAACCTTCTTTAACTCCAATTCCAGGGGATCTGACACCCCTTTCTGGCTTCCGCAGGCATTGCAGGACACAGGTGTACTTACATGAATACAAGCAAAATGCTCATACACATAAAATGAGAATAAAAAAACCCAGTTGAAGTCTGAGAATATGGAAGACAGTGTCTTACAATGAGACGGTTGATGTGCACTTGCTGGGGTAAGAGACCCAAGGCTGCAGCAACCCCTTGTCGGAAGATGCGAAGCAAAGTTATATTCAGCTTGTTTACATCCATTTGCAGTGTCTGGAAAATAAAGAGGGGGAAAACTCTATTATTTGATTTAGGAAAACCAGTTCTGCACTGATAATTGGCCACAACAGTTTCTGTGACTCTTTTGAGTTCACAGTCAAGTTGCTATATTGAACTTTGATAGAAAAAAATCATAGAGAATTTTTATTTTAGAATTTAAATGGCATTAGTTAAAAGATGGCATAATATGTAGTAATGAAATCTATCTAGTTTATTTAAAAACACAAATAAGTGGTGCATTTGTAAAGAATTTTATTTCACTTTGACTTGATTTATTTTACCTTCCTTCAGGTCTAGATGACAGAACGGTATCTGTAGCCAAGCCTATTCCAGTTATTTAAGCTAAAGTACGTACTTAATTTGTGTTTTCACATAGTCAGGGAAAGAAGGATGCTATTCTATAAGGCTTGAACTGGAAGTGCCTCTCTGTAGAGATCTGCTACCAGTGCCAGACAAGCAAATGAGGTGTGATATGTATTTCCAAATACTGGCCAGTGGTACTGATGACTTGGCTGAAGGTAAACAATGCTTATACAGTGTTTGAGAAAACACTCCTAATAAATCTAAACAGTAAAATGTTCCAGAAATACAAATCAAATTGTGAAATTCATAATACAGCCTTCATTTAAACCACAAGTGCTATTACTGTACATAAACCACGAAATTGTTTACTATGTGTTTTCAGAATTGTATTGTTAGACTGGAGAGATTGCTCAGTGGTTAAGAGGACTTGCTGCGTTTCCAGAGGACCTGAATTTGGTTCCCAGCACCCTCTTTGTGTGGCTTGCAACTTCCTGTAATTCTAGCTTCAGGGACCCAACACCCTCTTCTGGCCTCACACCTGCACACAGACTCACACAGACACCACCCCCCCAACACAAATAGAAATAAATCTTTAAAAAATATAACATAATGATTTGAGGCAGATACTCCCAAGGAAGGGAAATCAAACTTTTGTACATTTCTTATATTCTTCTGATTTTGAATTTACTGTGACCATAGTAGGTTACCTGCAATTGTTGGATGGCTACGATATTGTCTCTTTCTTTTCATTTGGTAAAGAGGTTTGCAAGTACAATCTCCTATAGTTTAAAAACTCTTCAACAGGGTCTTTCCCAACTTACTTTAAAATGAGAATGATACTACTTTGGGAATTTATAGTCCTCTTAAGAAATAATATATCATCTATGCATAAAGTTTGTAGAAAACAAGTGACCGGAAACAAGATCAAAAGTTCAATGTGACATAGATCAGTTTGGTAATACAAAACAGCTGTAATGGTTCCCAGTCAAAATCGTAGGCTTGCCTACTTTTCATACTGCATTTCTACCTTAGTTTCTTTTAAATGCTTGCACAGGGGTCCTGGGGCTTGGTCATGTTATGGAGTGGAAAAAACTGATATCCAAAGCAGGGCAGAGGCACTGAAAGGCTACCTGACAGCCTGACAACAGGCATCTACTTGTTTCTTGGGAAGGGAAAAGAACTTCACTGGGAGTGGGTTGCAGTATCAATAGCATCAATAGCAGCAGTATAGCACCATCAATAAACTTTAAAAATAGTTGTTCATTTAGGTTTATTTAATGTAAAACAACAGCAAAGTATTTCTTGGAGTTGTAGAGGACAAAAGTCTGAATCAAGGCATCAGTAGGGCCATCCTCCCTCAGGATCTCTAAGGTGCAATTCTCCCTATGTCTTTTAGCTCCTGGTGTTTGCCAGCAACTTTTGGTATTACTTGATTTGCAGCTCTACCATTCTGGTTTTTGCCTGTGGCATCACAGGGTTGTCCTCACGTCTCTGTCCTCTGTGAGTTTCTGTACCCAAAGTTTTCATTTTTATAAGGGGCTGGTTGTAGCGAATCAGGAGCCCACCCTACTTTAGTATGACCTTACTTCAATGATTGTGCCTGAAATTCTTTTACTAAATAACGTCACATTTTTTTCTGGTATTCAGAAGTTGCAAGTCTAACATAAGAATTGTCAGGGGACATAATTCAACCCCAAATAGGGACAAAGTCAGAATCATCAGGAAAGAAATTGATAGCTTATAGCCACTGAATTGACCAAGAACCTCAGTATTCTGGCATGTTTCTTAGGTTCTGAGTCAACACAAATCTTCGGCCCAGTTGAGTCCCACATGTCCATCCCTGTTCCAGAGCTGTTTGGGTGGCCATTTAAGTCCATTAGAAGCTACTTTGATCTCAGAGACGATTTGGGGTTTGGAGATCATCATAGGTAAAGGTAGTGTTAATGTCTGAGTAAGCCAAAAGGAGGGGCAGATAATTACAGATACAAGTTGAAAAGGACCTTTTGTTGATGGTTTACCTCCCCACGTGTCAAAGCAATTTCTACTGAACTTGGAGCTTGTGTCCCTGTCTTGAGAGAACGTGACCCTCTTTAAGAAAGAAATTCTTTATGGCATAAAAGCTCATCTAATAGGGGCTGGAGAGATGGCTCAGAGGTTAAGAGCGCTTACTCCTCTTGAAGATGACTCAGGTTCAGTTCCCAGCACCCATAATGGGAGGGTCACAGTCGCCCATAACTCCAGTGATCCAGCTCCTTCTTCTAACCTCTGTGGGTACCACACTCATGTGCACATACTTTCCACCTCCATAGACACATAATTAAAAAATAAAATAAAATCTTAAATCATAATTTAATAGGACTGGAGAGATGGCTCGGCAGTTAAGAGCACTGTTTGCTCTTGCTGAGGACCCCTGTTTAGTTCCCAATACCCTCATGAAAGCTAACAACCATCCGTAACTCCAGTTCCAGGGAATCCGATGGATGCCCTTTTCTAATCTCCGAATGCCCTCTTCTAATGTCCATGGGCATTGCATGACATAGGTGCACTTACATACATGCAGGCAAGACACTCATACACATTAATTAAAAGTAATAAAATATTTAAAAATCACTTAATGATACACATATTTGTATATCATTTGCTGTGCTTTTCTATAGCTTAAAACTGTTTCCAGTATATGATAACTACTTAATACAGAGAGTAAAATTGAGCTAAAACTTTAAGGGCCAGGAGGATTTAGGAATGCAGTGATGTCAAGTTTATGGTTAGTTAATAATTTTAAGCATACTTCATGTATCTACATAGTAAACTCTGAAGATTAGTAAAGCTCAGTCTACCTGGTAGCTCTGTATAGCAGAGGCTTCCCTTTTGAAGCCTGTCATCTGTGTGCCAGGGTATGTAAGCTGCCATTAGATAAGGAACACTGCATTACGGCTGTCTACTACTTTCCTCTGCAAGACCAAAGGTAAGGTCCTAAGTTGGCTTCTCTGAACCACTGGTGAGAAGCCATTGAATTTTGGCTTGCCCACAGTGTTTGTAAGGCAAACTGAGTAGGCAGGCATGGTCCCTGGTCCCCAGGGACAGGATTTGGAGCCATAGGCAACTCTGGGAACTGAGAGTCAAGGGGATTGTATAAACTCTTGAGAGCTCAATTCCCAGGGCCATGATTAAGGGAGGCTTGTAACTGTGGAAACAGCCTTAAATTCTCAAATGGGAAGTGAAATAGGAACTCAAGATTAAAATCACTCAGCAAGGCAGCTTTGTAAGACAGTAAAAACTGTTTTGAAACAGAAATGTGGATGACCCAACTAAAGTGAAAAAGTGAGCTGAGGTGATTAGCTGAAATTGAAATCATCTGGTTCATTGCAGCAAAACATCTGAATAATTTGCCTTGGCTCTCTGTTTGCCTCTGAAAACCTGCATTGATTCCATAGTGCATGTAAGAACTTCTGACTGTTCCCCCACAAAATAGAGACGCGAAAATACAGTTCAAATAAGATATATGTATTTGGTGGCCCAATATGTGCCAGGTATTGTATGAGTGCAGTTTGGAAAAAGAAGGGATTCTTGATAGAATGGCAATTTTATTTCAAACAAAATAGGAATGGGACTTCCTGTGGTTAGGGGATAAACGCCACTTACTTCTTCGTGAATAGACACTGGAGTACACAGCTCCTTCCACCCTGCTGCATGCAGTCACAAGCGTGATAAAACATAAACTTCCAAGGCAATAAGGATGTAGTTTAGCTTTAAATTACCATAGAACCATGAAAAGTATATTTTCAGTCTGAATTTCAAACCCATTTGACAATTTCTACCATTTTAAGCACAAATTTATTAAAGATTTTAATTTCAAGGAGATTAAAATGTTCTTCCCAAATGAAAATGCAAAGACATTTACAGTATCAATCATGCAGAGTTACTATGTACCTGAGTTTGGATCTGAAATGTCCCCAAATGTCCACATGCTAACAACTTGGTCCTCAGTTTATGGTGCTATTGCTGGGAAATTAAAGAAGTGAGCCTAGTGGGAGGAAGTTCTGGTACCACTGGTGTGCCTGGGGACAGAATATCCAAACTTTAGTCTCTTTCTCTTTCCTTGCCTATAGTCTGCCATGTGAGTAGTTTATTCAATTACATGCTCTTTTCATGAGACACTGCCTTGCCACAGGCCCAAAAGCAACAGGCCAACTGACTGTGAACTGAAACCTCAAAACTGTGAGTCCAAATAAAATTTTCTCTATATAAGTTGATTATCTGTAGTTTGTGTTGCAGTAAAGGAAACCAGCATAATATATAAGGAAACCTGGGTGCTTTTACTGACACACTACATATTATATATAATAAATATTTAAGCATAATAAACACTCAAAAGACTTCAATACTTAACTTTATTGGGAACTTCTTATTAAAGAGATTCTGGAGTTGATTCCCCATTATTGTATTCCCTCATAAACGAAATAGTGTGTGTGTGTGTGTGTGTGTGTGTGTGTGTATGTGTGTCTGTGTCTGTGTCTGTGTGGTGTATGCATTGTGTACACATGTGTACGCAGGTGCATTTGCTTGTGTGGGTGCATCCAGAGACTGATGTCACCATTTCTTAACCAATTGTTTATCCACTTTATTTTCCTAGAGAGGATCTTTCACGGAACTTGGAGCTCCCTATTTTGGCTAGACTATCTGGCCAGTAA